TTATGATTCTTCTGTCTCTGCCTCCCAGAATGCTGGAATTATAGGCATGTACTATCAGCCCTGGCTACTAGTAAATATGTTTTACATTGAGAAGATCCCTCCAAAGACTGAGAGCTGAGCAGGAAACCTAGACTTTCCTGAATGAAAAGGCAGCCCTTGTGCAATAATCTGAGCACATTTGCCAACATCGCCCCAACTCTGGGCATCAGGGCAACCTCCTGCCCTCCCTTCTGCCCTGATTTCTGGCACTGCTCTGTGTTTTCTTTGGCCTCTTTCTTGGACAACAAACAATATCTCTGTTCTAGTTCACTATGACTCAAGTATCTTGCCTTCAAGTTATCCACACCCTGTCAGAAGCAGTTCTGGACACACCTATGCTGGTCTCCTGCTGTGGTCTTGATAGCTGATGAGACACAAGTATGTAGCATCAAACCATTGCTTTAAAAAATGGTCTGGATATAGAATAAATTATGAAAATACAACACAACGCAATCAAGACAATGGTAATAATGAAAATATCGACAACTATTTTAAGAGAATTTCCTAGTTCTGGGTCTTCCACTGAGCACTGGAAACATGCTTACCAGGAAGGTACAATTATGATTTCTATTCTAGCAATAAGAAAATGAAGGTATGAGAAAGTTAAGACAGTTGTCCAAAGTTACACCAAGTGCTTAATAGCAACGTTGGAATCTGAACAAAGGTATAAGTTGGTGCTATTAATAACTTTGCTACATTGCACATAGATAGACCAGCATAAAAGTATTCAGATATTATAGAGAAAGTGCAGATGAAGGGTTATGAATTTCATCAGGATGGTCCATACAAAGAGACAGAGGTAATGTATAAAAAGTATTACGCAAGAAGATGTAAATGATATAGCCTAAATACTGGGCTCCTGGTTTTCTCCTTGTGGCCTATATTTAAGATTGTATAACCTGTCACTCCAAAGCTTGTTGTCTTATAATAGTTATTGATTATCTTCCATGGTGTCTGTGGCTTAGGATTCAGGAATGGCCTATTTGGGTGTTATTTGATGTGGAGTCGCTCACAAGATTGTACTTATGTATCAGCTGGGGCTGCAACTTTGCTGTGTGACTCACTCACGTGGCTGGATATTGGTGCTGGTCATTGGTCAGGGACTCAAATTCTTTTTGACATGGACCTCATTCCATATGGCTGCTTGAATTTCTCACAGCATGGCAGGTGGCTTCTCTGGGACAAGGGGGGCAACAGACCAAGTTAAACAATGTCTTCCGTTTATGACTTAAATGGAAATCACAATCTGTCACTTTGCTGCATTATACTGGCTACACTAACCAGCTATGATGTGATGTGGGAAAGGACTATGAAGGGACATAAGTGACAGGAGGCAGAGATCATTATCTTAAAGTTCTCATGTTTTGAGTACAAAAAGCTACAGTGCCTCTTTTATGTGCCTTTGGTTTACTACTGCAATGTATAGACCTTTAGGATCCAAGAACCCAGAATTTTATGAGGTGATGGTACAGCTGATGTCTGAGAAGTTTTGTAGGGTTCTGAACAAAATGATGGATTTGATGAGGAAGGAGATGGTGAACTCTTTCTGGCAGGGAAGCAGGGAAGAGAGGCTGGAACTAAGGATAACCATAGGTCTTTAGTTAATTAAGCCAAAGTGCCAAGTACCCTGGAGACCTAGTTTCACTTAGACCATTCACCAGGCTCCTGTTCTTCTCTATGACTCCTACAGGAATGAAATATGTTCAATCAGTTTCTTGCTTCTAGTTTGGAAGTCTGCCTATTCATCATATGCCAGTAACCATCTCAGTAGAACCAGGATCCTGCTTTCTTCCTTCCACTTCAGTGCTTTGTGCATGGCTGGTATATGTGCATATGGGAATATTAAAGCCACTGGTGAATATATGTCTAGTCAATGGCAAGTTATGATATTTTACTAGAAATAAATTTAGATTGAATAGACAATAATTTATGGCATTCTAATTTGTACTTAACTAGATTCCATGCTAGATACTGGGGGAAAATTATAAGCCAAGAAGACACAATTTCTGCTCTTATGGTATTTATAAGAAACAGATAACAATACAAATAAATAAATAACTATGAAAAGCACCACAGAGACATGGAATGAGACCATCAAATCAGGAAACATTAAGAAAGTGAGGCTTGAGCAGAGATCTGTCTGAAAGATGAATATGTTTTTCAAAAAGTACTTTAAGTGGAAGGAACAAAATGTGCAAAAACGTGTTTTATAACTGGAAGGACCAGCCTCCCCCAACCCTGTGGCTCCAGCAGAGGGAGTGAAGAGAGGTATAGGATAAGAAGAAGAAAGTAGAGAGTTTGTCAGGGACTGGACCCTGCAGGACCTTATAGACATGTTGAAGATTTTGGCCATTATCCTAAACAATAAGAGGCCCTTTAAAAGTTTTAGAGAACATAGTTGAATGATCAGCCACAGTTTTGAAAATAGCTATATCTAGCATGTGGAGATTGGATTAAAGAAGGGAAAGACAACTTAGGACACTGCGTCCAAAAGAGAGATGTCAGTTTGGATCATGATGTAGTAGGAAGAGTGAGAATAGGATAGAATTGAAAAATATTTAGGGTTTAGAGTTGACAAGGTAGGATGAGCTTGAAGGTAAAATAAGCCACAAATCTCAGGCCCAGGTGAGGTTATAAGGGGTAAACAGGAAGTCAGAGTGAATGTTCTAAGAGGGAAGAAGGTGATATGAAAAAGACAGACCAGGCAGACAAAGTTAGGACAAGTCTGCAGAAGAGGAATCACACATCGCCTGGAGCATTTGAGCAGTGGTCTTTGTTGCCAAGAGGCACTGATCATTCCAAAGCATGGTTCTGATAGGTAAGGACCTGTGGTATTGTAAATAACAATTCCGTGGTCAGTCTCACCATTCTATCAAACAGCAGCTATGTCATGTCACCAAGGACTGCTTGGAGGCCAGTATTGAATAGAACAAGTACCCCATCCCCTTCCTCTCTCTCCTTTCCAGTATAGTTTGTAAACAGGATAGGTCTTGTCCAAGGTAGGATCCAGATGCAGGCATTAATAGTATCCATCCCTTAAAAATAACTTTAAGGGCAGGCCAGATAGCTCAGCAGACTAAAGTGCCTGCTTAGGCAGATGCAGGGAATGGGGTTCAATCCCCAGCATGCCATACAGGCCCCACCCCCAGGGGTGTAGAGACAGCAATTGAGACTGGGTGTGGTAGCTCATGCTTATAATCCCAGAGCTTGAGAAGCTGAAAACAGGAGAATCACTAGGAGTCTGATCTATGTAGTAAGACCCTGTAGACCCAGTACTAAATACATAAAAAAGTAACTTTAGACTACATATCTGAAATAATACTTTATAGTATATTATACTATATATATTGAAATATAAGTAGGCATCTTGGCCAACTTGTGTTGTTAGTGAAAAAAAATAACAGACAGGGTGGCTTAAGCAATAGATATTTATTTCTTGTGCTGTAAAAGCTAAAATGCCAGAAGTAAAGTTTCTGGCTGGTTCACTTCATGGTGAGTGCCCTCTTTCATTCTTGTAAGCATTTGGTTGTGTGATAAAGTGACCTCTTCTCTGAGCTTTAACTTAAAGACCCTGTTCTTTTCTCTCTACTTTTTTCTATAAAGACACAAATCCCATTTTGGGACACCACCCTCACAATCTCATCTACATCTAATTAACTTCCCAGGAGGCTCTTCCTCCTGTTACCTCGTACATTGGGAGTTAAGGTTTCACCATATGAATTAGGATGAAACACAAACAACACATGTTTAAATAGGAGGACCCAAGACCAGTGGAAGCCCAAAGAACTATAGGAATTTGGTTATAAAGGTGGCATGTCAAACTAGTATGAGAAATGAAAGATTGATTAATAAGTGATGTTGAGACAAGTGACTAGCTATCTGGATAAAATAGAAATGAATCTAGTTTTCATACCACTAAGAAAAACTCAAAATTTGAACCCATATTTAAATGCAGAATGATGAAATCTTGAAATTATTACAGGAACATATGAGAACACTTGTACAACTTTGGAATAAGTAAGTATTTTCTAAGTAGCACTTGATGTCCAGAACTTACGAAGGAAGAGGTTGAAAATTGTTTAAACATTTTGTTTATTTTATGCTAACTTATTGTTATTCTGATTGATTTTTAGGGAGATTTTTACTTGGTTATGTGAGGGGCGACTTTTCTTCTGGTTTGTCACTTGTTTATTGTTGTTCTTTTACTTGGTTCACTGTAGAAGGAAATATAAATGGATCTGAAAGTCATGAAAATATGAAAATTGATTTTTTTAATATGCGAAGTATAAAGTGAAACTGTATCAATATAACAATTCTTTATGCCTTCAGATTTATTAAAAATACAACAAACCGCTCACTCTCTGCTGTTAATACTATGGGGAACAGGCACATTCATAACTTAAGTTTGGAATGGTAAATTTGATGTGACTCTTACGGTAGAAAATTTGCCAATACTCATCAAAATTATAAATGCCTATTTTATTTTGCCCAAATCTTTAATTTTAGGATATTTTTTCAGTACTGGTAGTTCAAACTAGGACCTTTGTACTGATCCATATTCCCAGATCTTAATAAAATATTTAAGGTTCTCACAAGGTTGCTAAGTTACCCAGGCTGGAATCAAACTTGTGGTCTGCCTTCTTTAGCCTCCCAGACCACTGAGATCACAGGTGTGCACCACCACATCTGGTTAATTTTAAGGTTATAGTCTGTAAAAATACTTTCCCTCTTGTCCAGTGATGTTGGCATGAGAATATTTGCTGCAGCATTATTTGAAAAAGCATAAGATTAGGAACAACCCAAATGTTAAACAATAGAAGACTGGTTAAATAAATGATATTGTAGCATTTTGATTGCTCTAAAAATCAATGTGGGATAGTTCCATTTACTGATATGGTAAGAAATCCAAGATATATTTTAAAGTGAAAAAAGCAGCAAAGAGAAAACTATGTTGGGTGGTTTAGCGTGGCTTCCTTTGTTCACGATCAGGGCCGCCATGAGGGGCGACAGAGGCCGCGGCCGCGGGGGGCGCTTCGGCTCCCGAGGAGGCCCCGGAGGAGGGTTCAGGCCCTTTGTGCCACACATCCCATTCGACTTCTATTTGTGTGAAATGGCCTTTCCTCGGGTCAAGCCAGCACCTGATGAAACTTCCTTCAGTGAAGCTCTGCTGAAGAGGAATCAGGATCTAGCTCCCAATTCTGCTGAACAGGCTTCTATCCTTTCTCCGGTAACAAAAATAAACAATGTGATTGACAATTTGATTGTGGCTCCAGGGACATTTGAAGTGCAAATTGAAGAAGTCCGACAGGTAGGATCATATAAAAAGGGAACAATGACGACAGGACACAATGTGGCCGACCTAGTGGTTATCCTGAAGATTCTGCCAACCTTGGAAGCTGTGGCTGCCCTGGGGAACAAAGTCGTGGAAAGCCTAAGAGCACAGGATCCTTCTGAAGTTTTGACCATGCTGACTAATGAAACTGGTTTTGAAATCAGTTCTTCTGGTGCTACAGTGAAAATTCTCATTACAACAGTGCCACCCAATCTTCGGAAACTGGACCCAGAACTCCACCTGGATATCAAGGTGTTGCAGAGTGCCTTAGCAGCCATTCGACATGCCCGCTGGTTTGAGGAAAATGCTTCTCAGTCCACAGTTAAAGTTCTCATCAGATTGCTGAAGGACTTAAGGATTCGTTTTCCTGGTTTTGAGCCCCTCACACCGTGGATCCTTGACCTACTTGGGCACTATGCTGTGATGAATAACCCCACCAGACAGCCTTTGGCCTTGAATGTTGCATACAGGCGTTGCTTGCAGATTCTGGCAGCGGGTCTGTTCCTGCCAGGTTCAGTGGGAATCACTGACCCCTGTGAGAGTGGCAACTTCAGAGTACACACAGTCATGACCCTGGAGCAGCAGGACATGGTGTGTTACACAGCTCAGACTCTGGTTCGAATACTCTCACATGGTGGCTTTAGGAAGATCCTCGGCCAGGAGGGTGATGACAGCTATCTTGCTTCTGAAATATCAACCTGGGATGGAGTGATAGTGACACCTTCAGAGAAAGCTTATGAGAAGCCACCGGAGAAGAAGGAAGGGGAAGAAGAGGAAGAGAACACGGAAGAACCACCTCAGGGCGAGGAGGAGAAGAGCATGGAGACTCAGGAATGACCTCCCTTCCTCCCTTCCTCGCCTAAGCTGGCTGTTGGGCTTTGCATGGTGGCATCTGTGGGGTAGGGGAGACAGCAGGAAGAACAAGCTGCAGAAAGACGCATCATTCTGCTGGGTTCTATACTGGCTTAGCATCCAGAAGTCTCCCATTTGTGACTTATGCCACCTGTCTATAATGAAGCAGGATACCAACATTTCATCCTAATACTCTAGAATTCCCAGTACCTGACAGCCCCTATAACCAGTACTTTGTTGTTGAACTGTGAACTGTTTTAAATGTCTGGAGATTTTTTTTTCAAAAAAAAACAATTAAATTCTTCCCAAGTAGGAAAAAAAAAAAAGAAAACTATGTTTTCTATACTATTTTTAGGAAGTACAACTAATACTTATATTTGTTTGCATATATGTAAGGAAATTAAGGAGTGATTCTATAATTTTAACATTTTAACATTCAACATTTAACACTTTAAACATTATGAAATAGAAAAATCTTTCATTATATGGTGCTTTAGAATTATAATTAACCACATTATTTTCTTTTTTGACAGCACATATAATAATGGTGTACCTTAAAAGCAATGACATAAGGGCTGGGGAGATAGCTCAGTGGTCTAAGTGCCTGCCTGGAAAGTGCAAGGACCTGAGTTCGATGACCCTCATCCTGCATGCCATGCCAAACCCAGAACCTTGGGCACACCATGCTGACCACCAAAATCAGCTGTGGTGGCACATGCCTGTAACCCAGAGCTGGGGAGGCTGAAACAAGAGGATCATTCTAAGACTGAACTGCATAGAGAGACCCTGTACCAAATTAATGAAGTATTTTTTAAAACAGTTTTTTTTTTTAAAAAAAAAGCAGTGACATCTTAGATTTGATGCAATATGTAATAACAGTGGTTACCATTGTGAAAGGAGCCTGGGGAAAAGGTAAGAAGTCTCTTCATTTCTGTGCTTTGTAATTGTTTCCATTTGAGCCATGTGAAATTATTGCTTACCAAAACTTAACAGATAATAATAATAATAATAATAATAATAAAATGATACAACAGGAGCTAATATATATGCACACAGTAGTTTAGTTTCTAAGATCTATGTTCTGTAGTGATGTTCTAAGTAGCAGACTCAGTTCTAAAGGATTAAAATGGAACATAAACTGGTTGACCTTCAGCATATGCTAATTGATGAGACACAATAGTATGCTGTGCAGTCCTGGGTCCTCCTGGGAAGCTGCTGACTTTTTAACATCATATTTGGTTTGGCCAACAAGTGGGACATAGTATTTTTGAGATTATATTAATGCACTTTCAGTGGGAGAAAGATGTTGCATCATCTCAAAGCCTTATGAAAGTTGGAGACACACTATCATGCCATCTACCGTGACCTAGTAGGTATATTCAGTGCTGGTAGACCAAAGTCAATGCTTGGGCAAACAGAATTGAACCAGGGTCGTGATTTTGCCCATTTTTCCTCTTCCAAAGAATAGATAAGGTCTGAATTAGACAGGTTTTTCTTTTTGGCCTTTATTTTAATGATGAGAGTGTTTGCTTCACCTGTCTTCTTCTCTCTTGCCACAAACACTTATCAGAGTCATCTGGATTGGAGTGTTCCTAAATTCCCATGTTCAAAGGCTTAATTTTCAGAGATGTACTATTGGAATCTGGTGAAAACTTCAAGAGTTGAGGCCTAGTGACAGTTTTAGACCAGTGGTGTGTGTCCTCAAAGGGCATTGTCGGAATCCTTCTCCTGTTTCCTTTCTCCTTTTCACTTGATGGCCACTGTACGGTGAGCTGCTTTGGTCTGCCACAAACTCCTCTTCTGCTATGCTGCCCTAGCACAAATCCAAAAGCACTAGAGCCAATCAGTTGTGGGCAGGAATTTCCAAAACAATGAGCCCAAATAAAAATTTTCTCTTTGTTCTTTGACTTTTCTTAGGTGTTTCTTAGAGTAACAGAAAACTAGCACAGTAGATTAAGATGCTGAGAAGAATGGGGAACAAATCCACAGGAGTGACCAGTTGTGGTACTCTGAGTTGCTTCCCAAACACGATGTAATGAAAAGTAGAACTGGAAGAAGTGCTAGCAGGTCTTTCTTTGGAGAGGAAAAGTACATAACTTTGTATAATGCCTAGTTTAGGTGTAAAAAAGCAGGATTTCTATGTATCACTAAGATATGATGTTTTTCATTCTCACAGTAAAACATCTAGTAAGAGAGTAGCTGGATCAAATGCATACCAATGCTTATAGTAGCACAATCCATAATGACTAGACCTTAGAAGAGTCCTATATGACTACCAGCAGATAAATGGATAAAGAAAGTATGGTATTTATGTGCCATGGAGTACTACTCTGTCACGAAGTAGAATAAACTTGAGTCATTTGTAAGAATATGAAAGCACCTTGAAACTATAATGTTAAGTGAAATAAATGAAACACATAAGCTTAAATATTGCTTGCTTTCTCTTATATCACAAACTCAAGTCATAAAGAAAAATAAAAGATAGATAATAGAAAATGCAAGGCCAGATCTTTCTCAATTGGGAAGGGGACAAGAGATGGAGGGAAGGAGAAGGGTAGGGAATATAAAAAATAATTAAGATGTGTTCTGTACATGTACTGATGCCCTATAATGAACGTAATCATTGTGTACTACAAATATGTATTAATATAAAAGCAAAAATTAAAAAAAAATAGATCCAGGATTTTACTTCCTCAGTAAACAGGTAGCTGACTTCTAAATACTTTTAGTGAGTCTTTCTCTGTTTTGTTATCTGAAAAATGGATGCAATAATTTCTTTTCTTTCCTTACAATGATTTTATAAGAATAAATGACATAGTGTTTATATTATTATTATTATTATTATTATTATTATTATTGTTATTATTATTTGGCTGGCTCAGCCTACCCTGAGGATGGAGCTGGCATGGCATGTGGTGCCAGGGATCGAACTGCAGTCCCCTGTGCCTGCCTAAGCTTGCCTAAGCAGGCACTTTAGACTGCTGAGCTATCTCAGCAGCCCCCCTAGTGTTTATGAAGATACTGAAATGCAAGCACACAAAAGTGCTATAGGGGAAGTCACGTTTCTATTTTGCCTTTATTTAAAGTGGAGTCAGAATTTGTGTTGAGTCACTATTTGACAGTGTCAGCTCATGTGTCTGTGGGAGAACAGTCTTGCCCAACTGAACTGTGTGACAGTTGAGAAACATCTCTGAACAATGACAATGGGCAGCAGGGAGGGCCCAGGCCTGTCACCTCCTGAAGAAGGCACAACAACAATAACCAAATGTCATTGGAAATGTACTTCCACATCCTGTATAGCACATCATTCTCCCCTGAGTTCTTTTTTTTTTTTTAATTTTATTTATTTACGTGTGTGTGTGTGTGTGTGGCCAGCTCAGCCCACCACGGGGCGGGGCTGGCTGGCATGTGGTGCTGGGGGATTGAACCGCGGTCCCTGTGTTTTGCTAAGCTTGTTCTAAGTAGGTGCTTTAGACCACTGAGCCATCTCACCAGCCCTCCCCTGAGTTCTTGAGGTAGAGGTGAGCATTTTCATTCTATATGGAGAAACTGAAGTTGGGAGCTGAGCTTGAAACTTGGGTCTAGGTTATCCAGCTAAAATATCTGCTAAGATCCCATCCTGCCTCCTCCTTTCTATTCTCTGAACAGGTCTCTAGATTGCTATGGAGATGAGATAGAAACAGAAGAAGCATAGAAACTTTTGCTACTTCTAACACAGCTGCTAGCACATGTTTACTAGGGCATGGGGTGGCCATTTGGAACTGAAGTCAGTTAGATCATTGCTGAAATTCAGTCACACAGCAATGTACTCAGGTTAGATAGAACTGGAAGGTCTCAGTTCTCTGAAAGTTCACCTTCGGGAGAATATTTTGGGCAAATGGTGATCAATACTAGTAACAATGTATCTGTTGATACCATTTGCCAGTGATGTATGGGACCATGGCACTAGCATGCCTTAAATGTCTCCCAGCAGATTGTGTATTCATCTTACTATAGACTTCACTGTTAATGATTTGGACATGTAAAATCTTACAAACAAAAGAGTTACCCATGAAAGGATCCAAGGCAATTTCATAAATTGGGGTTCCTAAGGAACAGGTAGATAAGCAGTTTCAGGTGGCCATAAGGCTAATCATGACAGCAATGTCATATCACTTAGGTGAAATCTGGCCCCTCATCTGTTTTTGCACATGAAGTTTCATTGGAGCACAGTCATGCTTATTTATTTATACACTGAGTGGTCATAGGAGAAGCTGAATTGTCTGCAAAGATAAAAGTATGTATTATTTAGCCCATATCAGAAAAAATTTGCTGGCTTGTGCTCCAGGTGATGGCTGTGCATGTGTAATTGGACTTGTGAGGACCTCCAAAACTCAGGGCGTGTCCTTTACTAATGAGACATGAGAAGAGAAAAATAACACAAATCTCTGGATACACATGTCCAGAGCAATGCGTGAAGGTGTCTGCTTCCAAATAAAAGAGGGACATACTCTAATTGAATCAAACATCAGGGAATCCTGAACCTTGTATATGAAAGAAATCTGCTGTAAACTATCGATTTAGAAATACTGGAGTTTTGTCAACTTTCATGGATATGGATGGGCCTTGCATTATAAGCATTCATAGATGCAAACAAATTGCGGAAGTAGTATAGTTCATATGTCTGCCAATTAAAATACTTTATTTATAGTACTTGTGTGTGTTTGACTTTTTTATGCTTTACACTGTATAGTTGTGTTGAAGGATTAGTCCAACTTATGTTCTCCTGGAACTGAACTCATTTATAACTCGGGGACTTACTATATTTTTTTCAATTTTTTACTTTTTATTAGTACATGCATGTAGCACACAGTGATTATATCCTCACAGGGAACTAGTCCCTGCACATAACACATTTTGATTCTTTTTTATCCCTTTTCTCTACTGTCTTTTTTCTTTTCTTTTTTTTTTTATACTTCATTCTACTTTTTATTTAATATCCACATGAGTGTATAAAGCTCTAAATCCATCTGTGTATCACTTAAATTGTAAATAGTGGTGCTGGTTTTAATATAGATTCTCCCATTCACAAATAACACAAAATTTTAAGAAAATTAATTAATATGTCATTTTACTATAGGTGCAGTGCAGTGGAGTTGTACTCTAAAATTAAATCCCTAGGTCTATATTTGAATCCAGAACTTACATGCAATCAAGTACTTGATTATTTATTTATTTATTTATTTATTTGAGATGGTATCTTCTCTTGCTCAGGCTGGCCTCAAACACCTAGGCTCAACTCCTGCCTAAGCCTCGCAAGCACTGAGGACTATAGATGTACCCCCGGTGTATCCTGCTGCAGGTGCCTTATTAATTCAATAACCAAATATTCCTATAATTTGGCTTTTTAGTATTACTAATTTATGATAAGATTTTTACTTTGATGTAGGACTTATGTTGAACTTTTACAAATTATCTCTACCAGTCTAAACAGGCTATTTATGTTTTTCTTTCATAGATTCAAATCTTCCCAATTATCTACCAGAGATGTAG